AACCTTTTGAAGAACAACCAAACCAATTTCCACAGAAGCTGCAACATTTTACATTCCTACTAGCAGTATTTGAGAGTAACAGTTTGTCCATCTCCTCACCAAACCTTTGATATTTTCCATTTTTTTTATAGCCATGCAAGTGGGTGTGCAGTGGTATCTCCTTGTGATTTTTAATTGAATGAATTTGACATGTAACATTATGTAAATCTAGGGTGTACAGTGTATTACCTTGATACATTTATATATTGTAATATGACTGCCAGTGTAGCAATATATATCACATTATATGTTTATAGTACAGTATTATTGTCTCCACTTATTATACTGTGTATTAGCTGTCTATGTTTTTTTTTTTTACTACTCATTACAAGTTTGTACCTTAAATACCATCACTCTTATCTTCTTGTACTCAACCCCCTGATAACCACAATTTTACTCTCTTTTTAAAGGAAGTGTAACTTTTTTGGATTACATATATAAGTGATATCATACAGTACTAATCTTTCTTTGACCTAGCTTGCTTAACAGAATGTGTTCAAGGTCTATCTATATTGTCGCAAATGGCAGAATGTCTTCCTTTCTCATGGCTGAATAATATTCCACTGTGTATATGTACCATATCTATTTTTCTTTATCTTTTCATCTGTTGATGGGCATTTGACTTGTTTCCATATCTTCACTATTGTGAATAACGCTGTAATAAATGTTGGAGTGCATGCATCTCGTCAAAATCCTATTTCATTTCCTTTGGGTACATACCCAGATGCAGAAGTGCTGAATGGTATGGTAGATTTTATTTTTAATATTTTGAGGAACCTCCATATTGTTTTCTACAGTCAATTGTTTGGATTGATTTACATTTCCACCAACAATGTATATGTGGGTCCCCTTTAAATCATACCCCTGCTAGCACCTGTTTGTTGCCTCCTGTCTTCTTGATGATAGCCATTCTAACACATGTGAGGTGATATCTCATTGTAGTTTTGATTTGCATTTCTCTGATGATTAGTGATACTGAGCATTGTTTCCTGTGTCTGTTGGCCATTTTGATGTCCTATTTGAAAAAATATCTTTTTAGTTCTTCTACCCATTTTTTAATGAATTTTGTTGTTGTTGAGTTCTTAATGTATTTTAACTCCTTATCTATGATTTGAAAAAAAATTTTCTCCCATTCTGTAGGTTGTCATTTCATTTTGTTTTTTTTGCTGCACAGAAGCATTTGAGTTTGACGGAGTCCCATTTGTTGACTTTTGCTTTTGTTTGTAGTTTTGGCGTCATGTCCAAAAAAATAATTGCAGAGACTAATATTGATGTGTTTCTTCCTCACATTTTCTTCTAGGAGCTTTATGGTACCAGATCTTATGCTTAAAACCCTGACCCATTTCTAGTTAATTTTTGTGGGTGGTGTGAGATAAGGGTCCGACTTCATTATTCTGCATGTGTTTCTCCAGTTTTCCTAGAATCATTTGTTGAAGAGACTATTCTTTCTCCATTGGGTATTCTTGGCTCCCTTGCTGAATATTAGTTGACCATGTATATGCTGGGGTTTAATTTTGGGCTCTTTGTTCTGTTCCATTGGTTGATGGGTCTAATTTTATGTCAGTACCGTATTTTTTTTAATTACTATGGCTTTGTAGTATAGTTTGAAATCTGGTAGTGTTATACTTCCAGACTGTTGTTAATTCTTTTTTAAAAATGTTTGGCAGAATTCTCCATGGAGCCATCTGGTCCTGGAGTTTTCCGTGTTGTGTGGTTTTTGATTATTGATCCAATCTCTTTCCTTGTTATTGGTCTATTCAGATTTTCTTTTTCTACTTGATTCAGTCTTTGTAGGCTGTGTATTTCTAGAAATATATTTATTTCTTCTAGGTTATGTAATTTGTTGGCATATAATTGTTCACAACAGTCTCTAATGACTTTATGTATTTCTTTTAACATTTTTTATTGATTTATAATCATTTTACAATGTTGTGTCAAATTCCAGTGTAGAGCACAATTTTTCAGTTATACATATGTATTTCTGTATTATCAGTTATAATGTCTCCTTTTCTATTTCTTATTTTATTTGAGTCATCTTTTCTTTTTTTTTTTCAGTTAGTCTAAAGATTTTTCTTTTTCTTTTTTTTTTCCTTTTTGATGAACTAGCTCTTAGTTTCATTGTTCCTTTCTATTGTTTTTCTGGTCTTTATTTTATTTATTTCTGCTCTGTTCTTTGTTATTTCCTTTCTTCTGCTAACTTTAAACTTAATTTGTTCTTTTTTTTGTTCCTTGTGGGATAAAGTTGGGTTGTTTACTTGCAGTCTTTACATTTCCTTAATACATGTATTTCTTGCTATAAACTTTCTGCTTTTGCTATGGGACTGCTTTTGTTGCATCCCAAAATATTTGGTATGTTGTAGTTCCATTTTTATTTGTTTCAGGATAAGTTTTTATTTCTCTTTTGTTTTCTTCTTTGACCCAATGGCTGTTTAGAAGTGTACTGTTTAGTGCTCACATCATTGTATTTTCTCACTTTACTCTTAATGATTTCTAGTTTCATACTAGAGAATATAGTTGGTATGATTTCAGTTTTCTCAAATTGGCTACGGTTTGTTTTATGGCTTATCAGGTGATCTATCCTGGAGAATGTTCCATGTGCACTTGAGAAAAATATGTATTCTGCTGCTGTTGGATGAAATGTTCTGGAGTCTATTACATCAACTTGTTCTAAAGTGTGTTTCAATTCATTGTTTCTTTTTTGATTTTCTGTCTGGTTGATTTATCTATTGCTGATGAGGTATTATATGTTCCCTACTATCAGTATATTGTTGTCTATTTCTCCCTTAAGATCTGTTAGTTTTTGCTGGCTATATTTGCTTGGATGTTGGGAGTGTATACATTTACAATAATTATATCTTTATGTACAGACCACTTGATCATTATATGATGACCTTCTTTGTCTCATTTTTGTCTTATGACCTTCTTTATCCCTTTTGTTTTTCAGAAGGTATCACTCTAGCACAATTTTTGTATTTCTCTTACTAGAGCTGACTTGCCGCTAAAGTTGGAAGTGTGCCATTAAAAAAAAGCTGGCAGAGAAAAAAAAAAGGATGATGGCAGAGTCAGGGGAGCTGTTGACCTAACACTTGGGACTTAGTGCCCATGGCTGGGTAGGGGGACCTCCAAATGGAGGAGCTCCAGAGGTCTGTGGGTGGTCCTCTTGCCAGAATCCCGAGGCAGACAGCAAGAGCTGCCTTCCTTTGGTTCTCTTTTTCTGTCTTCTTCCTGTTCCTTCCCCTTCCCCCAGTCATTGTGGTCTCTCCTTAGAGAACACAATACGACCCTCCAGCTGTAGCATGTGTGTTTGGGCAGACCCCTACTCATCATCTTCACTCTCCATCTATTTTCTTCCAGAAAGGTCATGCTGCCTTGATGCTGAATCTGCTGATGCCTTCTCTGCTACCCTCAGCTCCACCACCACTCCCCTAACTCTACAGCCCCTTATATGGTCCAAACTATCCACTTTTGGGTACCAAGATGGATGAATCTGTTGGGTGTCCTGGCATGCTGTGTAGAGATGCTTTCTCTGGTTATAGATGTTCAATTAATTGTAAATTAAAGGAGAGAGAAAACAGATATGATTTACATCACCATGATGCTGACATAAATCCTATCTCATTGTGATTTCAATTTGCATTTCCCCAGTGAATAATGATGTATATCTTTTCATGTGCTTGTAGGGCATTTGTATATCTCCTCTGGAGGCACATCTATTCAAGTTCTTTGCTTATTTATTTGTTTTTAATGGAGGTATGGGAATTGAACTCAGGACCTCATGCATGCTCTACCATTGAGCTATACCCACCCCTCTCTCATTTAAAAATTAAGTTTTCTCTTTTTGCTGCTGAGTTGTAAGAACTCTTTCTAATTTCTGGATGCTAGACTTACCAGTGACTTGGAATGCAA